ACTACTTAAGAACTTGGAAATATCCACATTTCCTTGCAGCTTTCCTACCGTAACGCTTCCTCAGGTCACCAAAGAAAGCTGCTCTTTATTTCCAACTGCAAACAATCCTTCTCCAAACTCAGTCTTCCTACTAAAATTCTGTCACCTCTCCCAACTGTACACTTCACTTTTTGCTCCTTCTAGTTAGCAAAGAGTTTGTCCCAACTCCCTATTAGTGTAGCTGAGCATGCCAGAGAGAAGATGAAGAAGCACCAAACCATATACAGATTTCCATGGATCAGATGGCCCCTGAGAGTCTCCTATTCAGTGGTCATATGTGCTCCATTATTTGCATATGCTGTAGGGTAAAAAGCTGCATATTCTCAACAGTACTAATTACCCAACATTTAAAGTGACCCTGTTGCTCAAGTCCATTTGCTTACCTTTTCCTTCCAGTCACAATACTCTTGTTTTCATAGCCTTAACATGTGAATCCCACTAAGAGTCATTTGTGGTTAAAAACAGAACAGCCTTTGAGGCCTGATTGAATTGTTTGCAGAGTGTCTCAATTGTATAATCAAACGTAATTGCAGCTGGCTACATAAATTGTTCTGACCTGCAGGCCTGTGCTAATATTGCAGCAACAAAAATATTCTATGATACTGTAAGTAGAAGCTTTTAACACAATGTGTAGTTGAAACAGGTTATAACAATTTTCTCCAACATGGTAAAGAGACTTGCCTCTTACATTTTTCCAACTATTCAAAGGAGAATTATTTACAAAGAGCAGCATTTGTATAGCTCAGTAAAAGAAAGATGTCTCCTGGAATCAATTAAAATACCCTAGATACATCTTCGTTTTCTGTGATTCATTTCAGATAAAGACCTGATCCTTGATAAGAAAGAATTTGAAAGCACTCTCATTACTGTCTCAAAAGACTGACACTGTAACACTGTTTCTTTTTGTGCAGAAACAGCATATACAGGGAGAAAAAAAAATCTGGGGTTTTTTTGTTTTTTGTTTTTTGTTTTTTTTGTTATCATTTGTAATGGCTGAAGTGGATTTAAAAGGCTTGAAGAAAAAACAGAGTTGACCTTTCAAAGAAAAAGATAAAACAAACCCCAAATTCTTTAACTTTGCCTATTGCCTGATCATAAAAACTATGAAAAACTCTACAAGTTCCTCATAGCTATGATTTGCATGCCAATATAAAGTGAATTCAAACTTGGAAAATAACTTAATTATTGGTCTGAACTCTGAAATATTTATAAACAATGTCACAGGGAATTTCACAGAGACACACACATTATTACAATGGAAGGTAGATGAAGCAAAGCAGAATTCAAGCTGTTTCTGTAAAGTTGTCATTACAAAGTTGAAAATCAGGGGTTTTTTTACTTGTGGATACAAGGAAAACAGTATAAGATACTTCAGAGATATTCAGTGTTTTAAATACAGTACAAAGTACGGTAAAAAATACAGTATAAATCCATATCTTAAATCCAAAAACCAAGTTTTGACTGGGATCTCTCTGTACTGACTTCTTTCATTCATTGTGTGTGTTTAGGTCACAAATTCTTCAGGGTATTCAGCATATGTCTCTTTGGACATGTGCTGCATACAGCGTAGCCACTGTCTCATATCAAGCCCCATTTGTTATTGTAATGTGTATTCCAAAACAGGGCAATTACAAACAACACTGGTCAGCTTTAATATTTCTGCTAGAATTAGATACTATGAAAGTAGAGCATTTAACTCTGCCCTCACAGTTCTGCAGGATTCAGAGGAGTCAATGACATTTTTGTACCACTGCTCAGGACATGCTTTCCTTGAGGGATATGTATAGATACGTACCTGCACATCCAAACCCCATTTTACAAGTGATTATGCCAAATCAAATCCAATCACTATCTTTCCTTCTGTTCTTAAAAAAAAGCAACTCTTCTCCTGCCTCCTCTTTTTCACTGGGAGAAGGGCCAGGCCTGCTGGATGCACGGTGGTCTTTAGGACCACATCATTTCAAATCACAGCGGGAAGGGGCACAGCCAGGCTGGCACATTACTGCAAGGATGTGCAGTGCTGGGGAGTTGGGGACAAGAAGAGCAGAGGCAGAGTTTTGGTTTGACACTGAAACAGCAGCTGAAGCTCTGGTCTTGGACTAAACCTCCATTTTCACACCTTAAAGGGTGAGACAAACACCTTCCATCATGCATAGCCATTAATTTACTGAACCTTACCCACTCTCATGTATTTATGGGTTAAAAAAGCCATAGAAGGATGACAGAGGTCATCTAATGTGACCTCCTGGAAAACTTTTACTTAACTTTCAAGAGAGGTCAGAAGAAAGGGAAAGATCCCTATATTTCAAATTGTCAGTGAAAGAGGGAACACACACTGTGTGGTAAATTGTTCCAAAGGCTAACTGATAAAAGGAGAGAGGAAAAGGCTTCCTTGCTTCTGATTTGAACTCACTTGGCTTCAGCTTTCAAATACACACTTCTGAAGTACTGAAAATCCTTTATCAAAGCTGTTTTTCCAAAGAGATAATTATAGAGCTCTTACTCATTAATATTATCCTCCTTAAGCCCAGATGGGTTACTTCTTTGATCTATGAGTTCGGTGCATATTTTCCATTCTTTAGGACATAATAATTTCAAAACTCAGGAAAGCCTACGTCCCCATTATAAGACCTATCACTGGAAAGAAAACATTTTGAATCCATGCAGGCTAAGAAAGGTCTCACATTCAGCCTTCTTCCTTATCCACGTGAGGTATGTTTGCATTTTAGCAAAACAAGAACAACATGACTGAGGAGGTACATACTAAAATTAATAAAAGTATAATTAAAAAGTAAGAACAGCAGTTTCTGTGTTCTTTAATCATCATCATGTTAATGTTATAGCACGAGCAGTTCTTCCATCTTCTACAGAAAAAAATCATCCCCTAATGATACCCTTAATTCAACAGAAATGTTGAATAAAGTGCAGTTAATACCGAGAATGTTTAAAAATTGGCAAAAATTCAAAAGATGAATCCACTGAATGTAGATTATAATCTTTATGCATAATGTATTTTGTCTTGTGATTGGATATTACTTCAAAAGTTATCACACATAAGTAATAATTTCAATTTAAGACTATGTTCTGTGTTACTCCCCCTCTTCCCTCATTTTCTTCAATTCACCTTTCCCTTTTCTTTCTATGTGCAAAACATTGCTGTATTATTCAACAATTATTCAATAATTAAATCACTGCCAGTTTTGTTCCCTAGTTGTCTAATTTGGTAGGAAAGCACAAGCCAAGCCTTTGGCCCCCTAAAGCTGGAGGACCACAGGGCAAATGTAGCAGCATATTTTATAGCTCAAGAACATATACAGTATTTCAGAACATTTATTCAAGATTCAGCACAAACTCTCCCCTGAGCAATACACAGAGTTCCTTCATTGGCAAGAACAAAGGAAACCACGTAACTGTATTTATTCTCACTCTTTTTATCTTCCACATAGAGTATGTCAGCACACAAGTAGGAAGTGAATATAGATTTTTGTCTGATTGTCAGTATTATTGAGTTGAACTAAAGTTCAGAGAATACTACAGCAACATGTCTGGCAGCTTAACCACCTGCAACTGGAATTAAAAACGTGATACTGTCCTGTATAAGCACTGGATAAATTTCAAGTTTCAACTACACCAACATTTTTAAGCTTGTTTCTGCTATTTGCTTTTCAGTGTCTGATGTAACGAAGTTATTTCAGGATCATTTAAAACATAACTGAGAGGGCACGTTTGTAACCTTTGAACCAACTGTAATCTCTGTGGGTCAGAAAGATGACCTTTAACTTGAAATATTTAAGGAAGAGAGAAACTGCTTTATTTTAATGCAAAACTGTTTGAAAAATTAATTTAGAAAAACTGTTATATTGCTTCAAAATGGAAATCACAGAGCAGGAAAATGGTAGACAGAGTCTCACAAATTGCCTCAATTCCAGGAAAGGTCAAGTCAGAGATTAGACCAGACCAGACCTTCTCCTTCAGAATACAAATAATGAAAGTACATAATTCCTTATTATACAGCAATTCCCTATAAATTGAGTGACTTACTATGTATCTAGTTCTCTCAGTGACATGACTGCTGCACAGGTTTTCAACTGTTTGGTTTTTTTTAAGCAACGCCTAAGAATATGCAAAAATCTGCAAGAAGACTGTATTTGATTATCTGGAGTAAAAATTCTGAATTAGTTAGCCATAAAGATAGCATGTCTTACTTTAACCAGTACAGAGAAATTCTGTACCTTATGTCAGGAAATTAAGAAGGAAATACTTGTTCAAATACCAAAAGAAAATTACTTTTTAAAAAAGAGAAAATTAAAAAGAGCTCTGTAGAAACAGCTTGCTGTCTACATGGTCAGGAATAACACTACACTGTGCCCTTTTACTTTCACCATTCCATCTAATTACAGCTCTTGTTCCCACAGTAACTGACTTTCCTCATTGTCAGGCTGCAATCTTTCTCTACACAATTTACTTTTGTAATAAAACACGAAAACGGGGAAAAAATGGGAAAATAGGCTCAGTTTGTCCTCTGCACAAGGAAAAATACAAGAAAAAAGAAAAGTAGAATGAAAAAAATGAAGTGGGAAATAAAGAACTCCAGAGTATTCAGATTTTTTAATTTTAGATATCTATAAGCTCCACTTCATTTTGAGGATTACTGGACAGAGTCCAAATATACTGAAGAAGGGCTATGTGTAGCCATCATGACATTGAAACCATTAGTAGGGATTATGTATTAAAATTTAAGCCTGTAGTGATGAATTACCTTTCAGTATTTTATTGCCTTTTTTTTTTTAATTTCAAATTTAAAATCTCCATGTCTCTTTTACTACTTTGGAAAATAGCAATTCCTTCTAATTTCAGAGGAATCTACCATTATCTATCTCTAAATTAATTTTCTGCTTGCAAAAAGAAGATTAGCCAGACAAGACTTATTTAGATATTTTATACATTAAATGCAAATTTACCTTATCGCCTTCAGAGAAAGTCATTCCATCAGAGGCCCTTTTCCAAGTAATCTCTGGGACAGGTTCTCCTTCTGCTTCACAGATGAGGGTTGCTTTCCCATTCTCAAAGGTGCTTTCATTTTTAAGTTGTATTATTTGAGGCTGCACTGTTGAAAATACAAATTCCATTACTGATCCTGCACAAAGAATGTCATCTCAAAATTTATCTTTAAAACCACTTCTTTTTTTTCTCCCTTCCTGGAGTAGTATGGGATGGATCCTGGCTGACCTGCCCTGGTGGCTGTGTTTGTGTGCTTTTTTTCCCCCTTAGGGACCAGCCAGCCCTCACTGCTCTCTACCAGTTCAGGAGTGAAGCAAAGTTCAGTGATTCCATGATGATCCTGCCTCTGAGCGGGAATAACCCCATGCACCAGGGCAGGCTGGGTGCTGACTGGCTGGAAAGCAGCTCTGCAGAGAGAGCCCAAGGGGTCCTGGTGGTCAAGAAGTTGAGAATGAGCCAGCAATTCACCCCTGAGGATCAGGGATCTCATCCAGGTGTACAAACACCTGACAGAGGTGAGTACACATAGAGCCAGAACCTTCTGAGTGGCGCCCAGTGAGAGGGCAAGAGCCAATGGCACAAATTGAAACACAGAAAGAGGGAAAACCTGAGGGTAACTCAAGAGCAGAACAAGCTGCCCAGGAGACTGTGGAGTCTCCATCCTTGAAGATACTCAACACCCAGATAGACTTGGTCCCAGGACACCTGCTTTGGTTGACTCTGGACTAGATGGTCTGCAGAAATGCTTTCCTGACTCAGGTATTCTTTGATTCCATGATAATCTGTGTTTGTCTTCAAATGCAAATTATTCAGAAAAAAAAAGAGCATTATTACTATTCATGGACTTTGATCTTTAGTAATGTTTAACTGCCTTACATAAATTACAGAATTTAACAAAATCCCCCAATAAAAAACACATCACACTGGTATTACCTCTATTAAGAACTGAAGAGTCCTCTGATCCAAAGCTGTTAATCCTTGCTTACCAACTATACTAGTGGTAAAATACATTCAAAAAATTCCAGGTATTATTTGCATTCTTCAAATCATTCCACTTTATATCCTCAGTTACACAGGAACTACAGTTCTCAATCTATACTTTAACTTGTCAGGTTATTTGGATATGCAACACAATTTCTGGTAGCATGTGCAAGGACTTATCTGTACGATATCACAAAAGAACTCTGTTGTAGAACTATGCATAGAATATTACTCTCTTCCACAGCATTCAAGTATCTTCAGTAAAAATCTTTTGGTCTTATGTATTACTTCATATATTATGATTACTAAATTTCTCTGAACCTATCCACTTTACAGATTAAATGAGGCACTCATCCCACTGGAAAATCTAACCTGTAATCCTATAATAAGAATATGATTCTTTAAGTTTACACCCAAAAGCTGTGAATCCAGATTACATGAGCAAATTAAATTTTGGCAGCTCTTAACATTGACTTCATTGACCTTCAGTACATTTATTGAAAACAATATATTTTCTATGTATTTTTTCTGAGTTTTGCTTTTGAGGAAGCACTGCAATAGTGTATTCCATATGAAACAGAAAATAAAGAGATGTAACCTGTTTTCCAATGGCCTTACTAAAGTATAGCTATGCAGAAGAGCAATATTGGCTTATGTTAATGGATCAAAAAAGGAAAGAGAATCATTCAGGTTGGAATGGACTGCAGGAGGTCATCTGGACCAACCTCCTCATCAACACAGGGTCAATCTGTTCAGGTCAGATTACTCAGGGATTTGTGGAGCACTATCCTGAGAAATGCTGAGAACAGAGACTGCACAGCCCCTCTCACCAGCCTGTTGTAGTGAGGAATGTTTTCCTTATGTCTCGTCTCCTCTCATTTTATGAGCACTATTTCACTTATGGCCATTGTTTCACAGATAGATGCTGCATTCAGCATCAGGAAGAAGAACATAAAAACCAGGTTCAAACTTGCTGTCTCTAGATACATCACCCACCTCTCTTTTATCCATTTCCACCACACTATTCTTATCTCACTCCTTATCCCTTTTCTCCACACTCCTCCTGTTGCTTGTCTACTGTCTGTTCACCCTTGACTATTATAAATAAACTATTGTATGTTTACTGCATAGAGATTAAAAACAAGTCGCATTTGACCTAAGAAAGGACTGAACTAACATCCTACTTCATTAATATATAACTATGGTGAGTGACATCATGTGTAGAAAGAAAATACCCGAGTGATCAGGGGTTCTTGAAATGTCAACTAGATCCAGATTTATTGGATGCAGCAGCAGGATATCAATTTGGCTGAGAAAATATGAAACTCTCCTCTGTGATTCAACAAAGGATGTCAGTGGAAAGAACTAAAAACAAAAAAAGAATTTGAGACAAGACAATTATATTAAACTTCAAAATATCTGCAATTGTTACTCTCACTTTCAGGATCATCCAAATGCCTATGAAATATTTGACCTTGGCACTCAGGTACTGTATTCCTACAGCCATATCACCTGGCTACAATATAATCTGTTCTATCCTTTCATTCCCTTGATATAATATCATCCCTGGAAAAAATGGAAAGAGCTGTGGCAGATATACCACTTAAAAAAAAAAAAGGCATCAGATATAGTACTTTATGTCAGAATTTTTCAGAATTTATAATTACATTATTTCCATCAGAACAAGAAGATTTCCACATCTGGACAAGATGACAGACAATATAATCTGCTCAAGATGATGCATGTTCCAAAACATATAAATAATACTCTTTAATTTTTAACCTTAGACATATTCTAAATTTTTTTAAGACCTTCTTCAAATGAATCACTACGAGATGAAAAGTTTTAGCTTGACATTTTAGACAAGAGCAGCTGACATTTAAAGGAATAAGCACAGATTAATCATCAAATATGTCTAGCTGACAGTTATTACTTGGAAGAAGAAGAGTGCTCATATGGGGGATATTATTTAATTGGTTCATTTTTGTAGGTCACAAGTCATAACTTGCTACTGAATAAAAGTTTTTACACTGAATACCTTTCAATGACATTCTGGACATTGAAAAATATTAAAATACATTTGTGTACATGTAAATAACAATATTTATTTGAAAACGACAAGACTAGTATTGACAGAAATACTGAAACAGTTGTTTCATCCTCCCTTCTGCCTCCAACTCTTTAACTGTTCTTTCTAAATTAATAAGGTCATTCTCAAACTGAATGGGTATTTGCTTGTTGTATTCTAGCAAATATGAAGCATATAAAAATGTAGAGTCTTGTAATGCAAATTCAGAAAGCCTCCATGTCTTTACTGGTTTCTTCAGTCAAAAATATTGAAATACTTTTGTAGTGATGTAATTTTAAAATTTGTGAACTAGATCACCTGGATGAAATAAAAAATTGTTGATTATAGAAGGGACTTATGCTTAAACTTCATTAAAATTATTTTATTTAGAAGGTAAGGAACTGCTTATTACAAGACACGCATTTTATAAATATGAAAAGAGTGATCTGCAAAATAAAGAAATAAAATTTAATGTTTGGAAAGTTTGCTCTCTGAGCAGGGAAGGTTGCTGTTAAGTTCTCCAACACTTCCTCAATAAACAAGTTTCTTTCAGATTCCATCCTTGGTCTCTTTTGGATTTGTCTCACTGTTGTGCACCTAAAGCCTCTCCAAAAACCTTATGAAGAATACAGATAACTACCTGAAGTTTTAGATTTGTCATTGTTTGCTGACAACCAATTTCTTGGAAAAGCTACACAATTTATTGCATTCACAGAGTTCTACCCATATCTTTAGCAAAAAAGCTTCATCAGCCTTTGGAAGTGACACATATATAAAGCTTGGGATAGTCCTGATTATATCTCATCAGAAGAACTGCTTTAATCAGCTTGTAATTGAGACAAACATGGATTTACTGGTGAGAGGTTTAGTATGCCTGTATCACTGCCTGATAGGATCTCCTGATTAAGATATCACAGGAGGAATCATACTTTTCTGCTCTCTTCCTGCACAGCCATATTTGAATATCAAAACTGCAGCTCCATCCTCCTGGAAACTGCCAGTACAATTTTAATTTAGTAAACAAACTAGAGACCCATGTGGAAACACCTGAGATTGCTGAAACTTGATTCCTGACATAATAGAGATTCACACATATACCAGTACGAAATGTTGACGTGATTTAGCGAATGATAAACCCAAGTTTTTCTTTCTAGATTGTGTAATTGAAACAGGTTAAAATGCTGTTACTACTTCACACTCAAAGGGATTTAAGACTTGTCTTTTGAGAAAACTGTCATCACTGCCTTTATAGATTAGATCATTTTTATTTTAAATGGTAGAGGTGTTCCAAACAGGTAAGGAAGTAAAAGAGAGGAAGAAGGAATGTAGAAAGTTTCAACCCTGCCAGAGCCCAGTTGTAGTAGAAACAGTAGTTGTTGCCCCAAGGAGTTGGCATTGTAAATTAGAATTCAAGATAGCAGGTTTTTGAGACAAGTAAGCTAATGAAGTGGGAAAGAGAAATGTAATTTAATAGGCCATTTTAACACAAACTAGCTGTTTGTGTACTGTTTAGCTATAATAACCACCCATCTGCCTTGCCATTTTCAGAGCACAGGTTATTTTAACACATTTAATGGGAAGAAAAGTATAATAAGTTGTTGGCTGTATATATGACTGGGAGTTTAACCTGCGTGAAACAGAAAAATAAAAAGTAAAGTTCTTTGTAGCAGAAATTAAAAGTGTGCTCCACATTTTCACAGTTAAATAGAGGTGAATTTTGTAGAGGCAATATTAAACTAAAATTACACTGAGTTGTAGAGATTACAAATAAGGTAAGAGGCTTAATTGATCATACTATTCCCTAAGGTGTCCTGCTGTTGGTTGAAATAGAGTTAATTTTCTTCCTAGTAGCTCACCTGGTTTTGGATTCAGGATGAGAATAATGTTGGTAACACACTGATGGTTTAGTTGTTGCTGAGCAATGTTCACAGTAAATCAAGGACTTTTCAGCTTCTCACCCCACCAGAGAGGAGGCTGCAGGTGCACAGAGAGCTGGGAGGAGACACAGCCAGGACAGCTGACCCCAATGACCAAAGGGATATTCCACACTTATGGTGCCACGGTCAGCATATAAACTGTGGGAAAGCTGTCCAGGGCCACTGCTCAGGAACTGGCTGGGCATCGGTTGGTGGGTGGTGGGCAATTAATTGTATTGGGCATCACTTTTTTTGTATATTTTGATTCTATTATTATTATTATTATTATTCCCTTTCTGTTCTATTAAACTGTCTTTATCTCAACTCATGAATTTTACTTTTTTTTTTCCTTCTGGCATTCTCCATGATCCCACTGCTGCCAAGGAGAAGTAAGTGAGCTGCTGTGTGATGCTTAACTGCCTACTGGGTGAAATCATGACACAAGGACTAACTACCAGCATACAGGTTATTATAATTTAAATTAAATATATTCAATAGTAAAGCACACAGGAAAAGTAACTAAATATGAATACTTGATGGTGTGCTCAAGATTTGCTACATTAACCTCTAAATTATCCACTGAGGAAAGAGATGTGGGAGACGCTGCAAACAGTTCTGTGGAAACACTGGTTTGGTACTCGGGGAGAGCCAGAGAGAAAAACTGAATGTGAGAGGGCACCAAGATCAGTTCCCCTCACAACACAAACCCCATGTGCATTTCCCACCTTGCCACATGGAATTATAACCAGAAAGGTACAGGAATACACTGTTCAGAGATTCACAATGGTTTCCACAGAAGGAGAAGCTAAATTGACCGAAAAGTCATAGCTCAAAAATAAATGAACTAGTAAGAGAGAAAACTACATTTGATCCAAAGAACCTACGGAATTATTTTCACTTTTTATCTTAAAATGATAATTATCGGCCAAATGATAATTATCGGCTCCAAACTTACACATAAGAAAATATTTTTCATGCCAGAAAGAAACGATATAAGGAATTTATGAGTTTAGGATGTCATGGAAACAAAAAGGATGCGTAGGTTCAAAATGGATTAAACCAATTAATAGTGTCTACTAAAACATCTGGATTTAGCTTTCCAGGGAGTCCCCAGCAAAGTGGTTGCTAAAAGATGAAAGAATGAAATAATTGAGAATAACTTTCAAGTACCTCAAGAACAACAACTTTCAAGGACAACAGCCCAATAGCTGGGCAACACACCTGGAGTACAGAGCTCTGGAGACAGCACAGCGTGGAGCGCTGGGAAGAGTTTCTCAGATAGGAAAGGCAGTGGGATGTGTTCATCTGACACAATGGCTTAAGCCTCAGGCTCCCAGATCCCAAACGACAGTATTATCCAACAGCTAAGCTATTCCAATGCAAGGGACCAGATTACCCTCTGCTATTAGATCTGTTTCACTTTGTATATTTAATTTTTTTTATTATTTTTTTTTAAGCTGGAAAATTCATTTCCCATGGTCCTAAGTACAACCTTTAAGTCTTCAAATGTAAATAGTCTTTCTCTCTTCTACAAGCTATCATGAATGTAAAAAAAACCCTCCAATATATTCATTTTTTGTAGGTTTTTCATAAGTTAGCTACAACCTTTTTCCTGCACAGTGATCCTTAGGGATGTTTTCTACATTCTCACAGATGCCTACTCTCACCAGGTTATATCTAAACAAAACTTCAAATAAATTATCAGTTCTATGTGAAGGAGAGAATCATTAACACAGATTGGGTGGTGGAGTATAGAAAGAGAAATAAGAGTTTTGATGTTATTACTTTCATCCTGTGAAACTCAGATCAGCCAATATTTTCATGACTACATCTGCAATCATGCATTTAAAAAATGAAAGTCAAGAAAAAAACCCACAAATTAAAAAATCAGGAACATCTCTGCATGGTGTTTTCTTATTAAAAAACCTCACTCTTTAGAAGTCCAAATAAGCCAGTTTTCCCCTTTCAGAATTTCCCCCTCTTTCTCTTCTTGGAAACTTCTAAAGGAAAACCAGAGCGAATTAACAATTTAACACTCCATTGTACTGTATCTGAATAGCAGAAAAGCAAATTCTGAAGATAGCCTTTCAAAATTAAATTCAGGTGTAAAGGTTAAAGGAGCCAACAGGGAGGAAAGAAGCTGTAAGATTATACAGAGGGTGGTTTGCTGCATCAGTAGGCACCTTGCAGAAATACTGTTCCACTGAAAATTGTGAATTATCACCTCGTTTCCCCACTGTTTATATTTAAAAAGGCAGGATGGGACATACTATGCAGTACTTACCAAAAACTTGAAGGAATGTCTGTTTTTTGTCATTTCCTGCTTTATTTTTAGCATTGCAGATATAAGGACCCGCATCGATATTTTTAATATCTCTTATGGTTAGTTCTGAATTGCTTCCTCTCAGCACATATTTTTCATTTGCTTCAATAAGTTTGCCACTCCTAAAAAAAAAAATAAGAACAATGTATAACTCAACCAGTAGGTTCCAAACTCTGAAATTATGGGCTATGAAAGCATCAATATGCTGAAAATAATACTTGAGGGAAGAGACTGCGAATATGCTGGCCTTAAAAATGCATTAATTGGCAATATGTAGAGAAGGGAGTTGATTTTAGGATGGCAGAAATTGGTATTCAGGATCACAGTGTTTTACCATAAGAATGTGCATATTCTAGACACAGGCAACACATTCTGAACTGCATCTTGATGTTCAAGACCCCAGCTGCACAACATTATTGTCAGGTTATAAAATAAACATGTATTAAAAATACTACAATATCTTTGTTCTTAAATGTTCGATATTGACCTAATGTTAGAAAAATGGTTGTGAATAGAACTCTAACATATGGCTTACACTCAAGGAAGGACAGAAGGAAATTGGTTAAACACACACTTGTGCGTGAAAAACATTTAAAAACATATTTTCTAATTTTAACTGCTGCAGTTCACAGTAGTAACAACTTAGCAACTTCTAAAAAATTTGGATTACATACACGTAGAGCCTATTGGCACATCAAGAACCCTTCCAATTTATTTCCTCTCAGTTGTTGTTGGCCAGCCACAACTTAGTAAGCAGGCATGTCTCCAGATGTTAGAATGAGTTCTGACCAGATGGTAGAGAAATAATAAAACCTGTGAACAATTCTGAGGGCTGAGCGAGGCTTGACCATTCCATTTGAGCACCTTGGCACACACACAGAGCTTCTTTTTCAAGAGTGTAATTTTAACTTTCAATTTTTTTTTTTTCTGATTCTGCCCAGTCTGTAAAGGATTCCTTTGATCTTATTTCCATTGGATCATCGACAGCCCCTTCTCATAACCACCTGTCTAGAAATTGCTTGATTTTCATAAGCACTGATAATGCTGCTGACAACGCCAATTTATTGAAAACTGACTACTTTAAAATAAAAATAATATACACTACTCAAATATTCTATTCTATTCAGTGCGCCTAGTTTTGGACATCTAAATTTAACTCAAGATTTAAGCAACAATTATTTTCATTTCATTCTCATCTAACAATAATTACATATATTTAATAATTTCTGAAATTATATTTTCCCTAAAAGTGAGGATACTGCTTATTTCTTGGGAGTATTAATATCTGTTAATGGCTCACATTTTAGTAACATTTTTTTGTAAATAACTGTAGTCCACTTAGCTGTCAACTTCAAGACATTATTATGATATTTGTTCATTTTGTTTCTAAAGCAAATCATAGAAATTGTTTTATAGACCAATAATAGTCTAGTTCTCCACATTAGGTGGTCTCACAGAAAAAAAACAAAACCAAAACCAGAACAAACATACAAATAAAAAAACCAACCCACACAGCAATAAACAAACAACTATAAAAAATCCCCAACAACCAAAAATTCCCCAGTGATTTCTTTTAGGAGACAAAAGTCTATATTCAAGGTCAGAAGTAACTTCCAGATGTCTGTTTTCACAAACATCACTGATATCTATGGCACTTTCTAAGCAGAAACGAGCATTTCCCTGGACCCTCCAGTGAACGGGAGAGATTCAGACTGATGCTGAAAATAGATAACAGGAAAATATGAATAACACATTTAAAGCAGATTATTTCTTTTGTAAGATAATTCTAAGTCCTGTCAGGAAAGATTGGGAAATTGATCCAGCTAAACTTTACCAGAGTAATTTTTCACCACGATTGTAAACAATCATCATGTTTTCAGCAGGACTATTCGCATGAGTAAAGATTTCCAGTTCATGACTTGTATCTACATTAGGATCTTAATCTTTCAGTCCTGGCTAATTTAATTCCATTAGAGCATTGCTTCTCTGAAGGTTATCTTTACATTAATGCAATATCAGCTTCAATAGAGATACCAGTTAAACAGCAAAAGAATTAGATTCTCTTGGTCCATGAAATATCCACTCTCTCTCTCTCTCTCTCTCTCTCTATCTATCTATATATATAAAATAGAGCAGCAACTAAACCTTGCTGACCTTTTTTCTGGCCTAGGTGTTTCAAAATGACTAATTTTTAAGTGAACTAAAATATTTTTTGAGAAAAAAAAAAGACACATTAGTTCAGATGCATTCATTTTAAATTGACAAAATCTTAAACATCGTCAGCACCTGGAAATGCAAAGGGTCATTGTAAACAGTTCAAGCTTGAACACATCATGCACTGTCTTAAAGAGTTTAAAGCTTAAGACTATTTGTTCATCATCTTGCTTACAATCAACACAGAGGAATATATATCACTTTAATAGTACTGTCATCTGATTTTAAAAATACAGACATTTTTCATGCCCTAGCTGAAGCTGACTTGTTAAACTCAGTTCATTGGAAACCAAAAAGAAAACAAAAGAAACATCAAAGGAATCTACTTTTGAATTGACTAAAATATCAGTGGATTGTAAGCAAGGTGAGGCTACTTTTGGGCAGATACAAATTCTGCAGTTCTTGCCAAAGAAACTTCAGTAGACTCAATGAGTGAATAATTCGTGTGAGGGCCTATTTTTAAAGACAACACAAGAACACTGAACTGGGTATAAAACAAGTCCATAATCTTGATGAACCACCTCAATAGACATGGATGTACTTTCTATACCATATAACGAAAATCTTCCAGCAGGATGGAGTACAAACCATTCCCTTTTTATCAGAACTTTTCCTCAGCTTGGTATACTTTTGAGTGTTTTGCAATGACACATCAGAAAATGGCATGATTATTCTCTGTGATAATAGCTTTCATCTTTCTGAAGCTATTAGCTATACTTAGCTATTCTGAGAATTCAGAAAACAGACTTCCATTAAATCATTTTATTGCACATGCCCATTTTACAAATGGTTAACCTGAGGCAAATTAAATAAAGTGACTGAACTCACAAAGATAAAAGGTACAGTTGGACATAAAACTGAACACTATTTCCATAACTTGCCCTTAACAAAGATTATAATCCTTCCAAAATCAGCATTAAAATTTAATCAAGTTCAAGCCATAATTCCACTTGTTTATTAAAATAGAAACTTAAAACCGAGGTTACTATAAACTTACATTCAACATCAAAAAGTAAACTGAACAAGATGAAATTGGGAATAATTGGCCATTGATTCCAATAAACTGATTCAATTAGGTTCCCAATGGATGACAAGCACATTAATATTAGATGAATCAGTTTTGATAGACTTTCCTACCACTGACAATGCTTTTCAGATTTTTCTCAAAATCAAGAAAGATTATGTTGATCTAGTTTTTCTATGCTCAGTCTAATTTCTAAAGAAAAAGAATCTAAAGTCTTATAGAAAGCAAAGGTCTTTATCTTGGCATAATTGTTAGGTAAGACCAAAAACAAGGAAAAGAGATCAGATGATTCTGATTTATTTTAACTGGCTATCTATATGTTGGTGAAAAGAAACCTTAAATGTTCAGAACAGAGCATTTAGAAATTTGATGTAGAAATTTAATACTGTATTACAATTTAGAAACTTTTGTTTCTTCTAGAAAAAAATAATTTATCTGTCTTCATCTTTTTTCCCTGTTTGCATATCAATAATAATATCCTATCACAGGGATAAGGGGCCTTTCCCACCTACTACTTTAAAAACCTCTCACTCTCATGAAATATAAAAGCAAGAATATTTTCTACTGACAATTTATAATCTAATAAGACAAAATAAAAAGAGAACGAAAGAGAAAAAAAGAAAGCAACAGGGAAGGGAGGCATATAAGCCAATATTCTTCATTCCTGAGATGGAAACAAAACAGAAACTTCTGCATTGAATATTCAATACCCAGTCCACAAGCTTGTGAAGCTTTTGTAAAATCTTTTAAAAATATTTAATGAACGGTTAAAAAACTCAGCACTTTGAGGGCTGGCAAACCAATGGGCAATCCTTCAGGAGGCTCTGGTAAGTGGACACAGAGGTAAGTTCCTCTCTCTGTAATATTTATAAAATATAATATATATATAATATGTATAATTAAAATATATTATATGTTTCATATATATTATATAATCATAAACTATGTATTTATAAAACATGGGGAAAATCCCACAACAATAAACAGGGATATACACAAACTGCAGAAATTCATGCATTCTTTCTTAACAATATATACACCATAATATTGGTTGTCTTATACCAAAGCCACTTACAATAGCAGATTTCAGGCAACTCAAGATTTTTGTTCAGGTAAGAGATACACTGTAAAAAAATACTTCAAAGACATTAAATAAAAGGAATATTAAATCATAGCTTGAATTCAATATCAGTTCTTTAATTTGGGCTCTACATATTTTGGGTATCTTTTTCCTCCTCCTCACTAAATTTTGAATTCTAAGATACATTAATTCCTTAACTTTTCATTCTATTGATTTACATTTCCTGGGATTCAAACTGTACAAGAGAAAAATTCGAATTCACATTTGATGTTTGGTTTATTAAGATGAAGGTATCAGTCAAAGGAAGATAACCTTAGTCTAACATTGTTCAAAGGTTCCAAAGAAGATTAAGAATTAATGGAAATTCCTTCTGTGCCCATTTTGCAAATGGAATGACCTTTTAATTCACCTGAAATAATATAAGTAGGTGCAAATTATTCAGGTCTAAAATAGAAATGTGCACTGGTATTAGGTGTTGAGATATTTTATATCCCAGGACTGATGCACATCTTTGTTCAAATGGAAAGAACACAGAGTGTATAGATATTTAAATTTTTACAAATGTTATATGGTAAGTGTTCCCAAATGACATAGCTGTACTATGCTCATGTCACTGATAAAATCAAAAAACCATACATGAGCTTTAAAAGCAATTCTATTTTCAAAGCATTTTACACTTTTAAAATTACATTAAATTACACTGAAACTTATTCAGTGAAACATCTCTGTGTCCTACAGGTGTCTGAAGCCATATCTCCTCTCAATCTCATTAAAATGGAGAGTTAGGGTTAGAATCTATTTTTACAGATGGGAAAAATGTTATCTTTTTTACCAGTATTGCTGATTTGTATTGGACATTTACTTATTGCACAAATGCCTATGTTTTTACCTGATACATTCATGTGAAAAGTTGTTGTTACATTTTTCTTGTGCTGTTTTTGGGAAATGGACTCATTTCTTCAGCTTTATTTGTTTCCACTCACGTATGAAGAAATCATGACAATATGGTATTTTTGTTACTTTTTATGTTTATTTCACTTGCTGGTAACCCGAGTGCAATCGAATTTGTGCAAGTTCATTCACTTATTAATGCTTAATCTAGCTTTAGCAGTTACAATAGAAACAGACAGCAAATGCTCCTAAAATTCAGCAGAGAAATTAAGGATACACAGCTTAATGGACTGTGGTGGAAAATCATGAGGCATAAAAACAATGTGCCCCGATGTGCAGCCCTCGAATGAACTCACCTGTACCAACTGATTTCAGGTGGAGGTGATCCAGTGGCTCTGCAGAACAAAGTTATTGCCTCTCCTCGGTCTGCAGTGGCATTGAAGGATTTCTGTAGCAGAATAATTGCAGGGGGAACTGGAAAAAATCATACATTACATCCTGTTAATGAAAAAGAAAATTATTTATGTGTTTCTGGAGCAATTTAAAGCGCAGGACAGGATCCTCTGCTAATTTGGGAATTTATGGTTACACTTGGGAATCAAGTCACAATATGAAACACTTCTATGAGTATTTCTTTACATTTCCTCAACACAGGACTTCTAATATTTTCAGGACATCTATAGCAGTTTTTTCTATAGAATAAATTTTTTGAAGTCTTTTTCAGCAGCTCTTCAATATTCATAGAGAAGATTCCAAGATGACTGTAGTTATACCTAACGTATAAGACAATACATACATAAGACATAAAACTATGCACTGATGTCAGACAGTGCTTTTAAAAGAGGTGTCCATATGCAGGAGTCTTGATTATGAATATTTAACTTTTTTTGCTGAATTCTTGCATACTTCCTGGGCAGGAGAATCACCAGCTTTCAAAGGGGAAATGTGATAGAACCCAATGGATACAATCTATTCGTATTTCTAAAAGCTGTAATTGTGTTCTGAGAGTGACAAATGGTTTCTGTTCTTGATGTGTCATTACTAAAGTTATTACTAAAATTGTAACAGTTCCCAGAGAACCTCTACCTGACAGAAAAATTAGCAATAATATTTGAGACAGCACAACTCACAGGCTGCTATTTAATATATCTGTTCATTTGGTAATTTTCACATGTCTGTCCAAGGTCTGTTTCCATTGACTAACAAGCAAATATGAAGTGTTCAAGGCCAAGTTGGATGGGACTCTGAGCAAACTGCTCTAGTGGAAGGTATCTCTGCCATGGCACGAGGATTGGAATTAAATGATCTCTAAGGTCCCTTCCAACCCAAACTATTTCATGATTCTACCAAACATACAAATAAAAACAATCCCAGGAGATTGGAAGGAAGAAGTTATGTGTAAAAGAGGGAATGTCACAGAAAGGAAGAGGAAAGGGAAAAGGAGATTAGAGCTTCAGAAAATACAGGTCTCTGCTAGCAAGAACATCCTGTCAGAGTTACTCAGTTATCCCTTTTACATTTATACTTCATTAGAGAAAAGAATATGAAACAGAAAACCCCAATGAATTTGCTTTTGGCTTCCCAATGTACTTGAACAGGTTTTTCTCATCAAACACTGAGAATCAACTTGCTTTGCTCCAAATATTTCAGCTTTAGTATTCTACTTCAGAAGCCCTTCCAGCTTCTGAACCTTAAATATATCAAATTATCATAAAATCATGTACCAGAATTATCAGTGAATAGTAAGCCTATATTGTTATATACTTTTCACACTTCTTTACGGTGTGTTTTACTGTTTTTCACAGATCACTTCTCTCCTATCTAAAATTTTCTCTACTCAGCATACAAAAACCATGTGGTGTGCAACAGCAATTCCTCCATCTCCAATAAAAAAGTGTTGCTTAGAAAGTGTTTAATACATTTTAGCTATTTTTAGCCACTTTTCAGCGCATTCTAAGTGAAAATACACTTAGGAACACAAGGAGATGAACCAATTTTTTGCCAGAAGCAGCAGGTTCTTTACTGCTCACAAATAAGAACTACAGGACTATGACTTGGTTAAGCACATTACTTAAGTGCTTTAATCTTCTAAGAGATACAGCAATGACAATGAAATGGAATTATTTTTCTCATCATTATTACTGGGAAGACATTTGTTTATCTTTGATTCTATTCTTGTATGTATGTCGGATTGAATGAAAATGTGAACCAAAGACCACTACAATTTTCATCTATTTATCGATATTACTCTAAAAGCTATTTTGGACCAAGTTTTATACATTAAATTTTATGTAGGAAGACCTATTTATTACTATAAATGAAGCAGAAAATAGCTCTTAATTGATGCCATTCTACACGAGCAACCACGTCAGAATCACTCGTTTGGCAATTCCTTCTCCTTCCAACATGGAAAATTAGAGCTAAGTGAGTGTTAGAATTCTTGTCTAGAGTCATAATAAATGTATGAAGAACCCAATTTGTGTTTCTAATCCACCAATAAATTATGTAAAGTCAAACCACAGTTTGTAAAGTAGTGTTTTAGAATTGCAGATAACCAGGAGTGGAGGTAAAGCAGCATCAGAACGAGCTAGCCACAACAATCTAAAGAATTCTGCTTCAAAGACTGTTGCTTGACTCCTGGGATTTAGCAATACCTGTGCCAGAACCTGCTCTTTCCGCTGACACTAACTGAGAATTCAACTTAGATAATGACTTCTGTAAACTGAGGTTTGCCGAGAAGGACCAGTCAAGGGCAAAGCATTTAAGGTTCAGAATATAAAAGGCATGGTGGAAAAAATTTCATTGCAAAACTGACATTAAACAGAGGGCATAGATAAAAAATGACCTTTATGAACTGTGTCCTTTCCAGGCAATATATGAAGAGATATTTATCTTTCAACAGGTCAACCCTGAATTTAAGAGAGGTTGAGAAAATGCCCCGTCTTGTCTCAATTCATTCATTTTCCTTCTTAGAGGTTTATTATAAACTTGTAAAATGTATAATTCAAATTTTTAGGTAACTCCTTATAAATTTTATTCCTCATAAAAAAATTTCAAAAATCTATAAATAAGACTTTTAATCTTAATAAAATGTATCTATGACTTTTAAAACAGTTCATAAAGTATGTTAATGCAGTGAGGGTGAATAATTATGAAAAATCAATTGCAGTTTAACTGTAAATGACAAAACATTGAAAAATACAGGGTAAACAGGACTGCTATATTCTGCTACTCAGGTTTTGCAGTAATTGTTAATGTTCTGTGAATGATTAATAACAACAATCAGGTTTTACATATTTATATTTACTGATACTGTGAAATGCAATGAATTCTATTTACATAGTAGACTAGATTTTTTTTCAATATTAAGCAATTACATTTATAGGAAAACAATACTAAACAGATGTAACAATTATATTAACTAGTTTAATCAGTATTTTTTGGAAGCTGATATATGTTAAAATAGGATCCAACAATCAAATAAAGCAACAAGTCAATTCGCCGACTTTTATTCCTTACCATTCACAATAACAATTATGTCCCGAAAGTCAATTTCTCCTCTCGCTTCCACTCTTCCTTCACATCTGTATACTCCTTCATCACTTTTATTGATTTTAAGAATTTGGAGATTATTGTTTGCTAATACTGCAAATCGATCTAGAAAGGCAAATAAGAGATTAAGCGGAGTTAGTAAATCAAGACAACATGAGAAACACTAACTTAAATGAGTAATATTCATGTACTTTCTCTGTAAAATATGAATGCTCATTGAGAAAACATTCGTTAATTATAAGTAAAATGTCAACTGAGAAATTAGGGGTTTTCTCATTGCAAAAAGCATTAACATTTCCTAAATTTCAGTATGGATTTTCCATCCATAACTTCCCACTTAATTTGGGTCACCAAATTTAAGTCAAATTTACAATTTATTGCAAAATGAGTGGAATATTCATGAGCACCTACATAGAATATCTAAAAAGATTAAGTGGAAAAAAATTATTCAAAATATAAATTGAGAAATTTATAACAAAATAAACAACAAAATGCTGCTTCTCTCTTTGTGTCCATTCTACACCATTAAGTCTAATTATTTTTCCCAATTCAAATGCATTTTGCTTGTGCTGGTAATTCATGAGTGATCTCCATCTTTACCTCAACACCAAAGTCGAACCAACCAGCTGCAGTTGTAGCACCTCTGGGACAATGTACTTAAGAAGGAGGAAAGTTACTGTGCAACAGCAAGTGCAGCTGAAGAGAGGAGTGAGCATGTGTGAGAGGAAGAACCCTGCAGACACCAAGATCAGTGCAGAAGTAGAGAAAGGAGGTGCCCCAGGTACCAGAACAGAGATTAAGACCCAGAAGAAGAGAGGTATGTGGGGAAGATATTCTTTTAAGATTTGCTTTTATTTCTCACTATCCTACTCTGATTTGTTTGGTAATAAATTAATTTTTTCCCCAAGTTAAGTCTGTTTTCCCATGAGGGCGATTGGTGAGTGATCTTTCATCATCCTTATCTCAACCCATGAGCCTTTTTTTATATTTTCTCTATCCTGTCCAGCTGAAGAGGAGTACTGTCCACAAAAAAAAGCAGCTTTGGTAGGCAGCTGGCATCCAGCCAGGGTCAACCCACCACACCTGTTGAGAAGGGCAAGTGACAGAGTGGCTGGGTGCGTGCCTGGAAGTTGGCCAAGGTCAACATTAATGGAATCTTTCGAGGAGAATTGCTTCCTGCAGTTCATGTATGTGGGTTTTGAAGAACCTGCATGCTTGTTATTCAGCTGCCTTTCTTGTTCTATTTGCTCTAGTGTCATCCTTTCAGCACTGGAGGATGACAAGATTTACTAGCTTTCAGTTTTAACTAGAAACCGAATGACTTCTGTTTCAGTAGTAAGAATTCTATCATAAAATAAAGAGAGAAATGAAAAAAGAAAATTTAATTATGCTTCACCTGATTGAAGTTTACAGGACATCAACGTCCTCAATACATTTACGCTAATTATGTATGGTTTATAAACTCATGCTTGAACATTAATGCCATTTCACACACTGCCACCTAGAAATTATATAATCTTTTTCTTTCCTACCCCTACACAATTCCCAGAGAACTGTGCCTCCAAATGTTTTGAAAAAGTGAGATTCAGCCCCTCTTTAAGTTAATTGTTAACTTTTTCTTTTTTTTTTTTAACATAAATATTTAATGTATGAGAAGAACAAGAGGACTGGAGGTCATATTTATTTCTTTAAAACACTAAAAAAATGAAGGTACAGGAGGGTTCCTGTTCCTTAGTAACAAGAAACAAAAACTGTAAGTGTTGGTTGGATAATTTTGCAACTTTCATTGAAGAAAAATATAATGGAAACAACAATAGACATCCCCATGAGTAAACTTGTTATACCACAAGAAAAATATTTTGGGTCTTTTTTCACCACTAATACTGTCTACATACAGTCAAAATTAATACACATTATATTATAATCAAGTTTAGAAAATGGGAAGTGAATTGAATGTGTGATTTTCTTTAGAAGTCATTGCTCTCCATGTTTTATCCCTTAGTAGGCTTGTGAAAGAGGAGCTCATGTTGCTGTAAAAATGCCACTAAGTATATAATGAAAGTATTCTCATTCAGCAGGAATCAACTGTGCATGGGTTGGAAGGGACTTTAAAGATCATCTAGTTCCTATCCTCATGGGCAGGGACACCTTCCACTAGGCCAGGTTGCTCAAAGCTACATCCAACCTGGCCTTGAACAATGTCAGGGTTGGGGCATCCACAACTTCTCTGGGCAACCCATTGAGATGGTGCACACACACAATGAAGTTCACTGTCCTGTGGATATCCTGATAAAAATTGTGTCCTTCACTAAACAGATTAGAGTCGGTGGATCTGGACAGTAACTGGGCATTACATTCCTCCATCCTGTCACTATATTGTCTGGACTCAACCCTCTCAGCTTCAAATGCCTGATTCAGAAGAACAGCCAGACACGTGACCTTCCCCTTCAGTCATATCAGATGTTAAGTGGTAGCAAGAAGGATTGTCTATGTCTTTTTAGAGCCTTGTAACCCAAGCTAGAGGTATTTTTGGCTGACAGTTTGCAAATTTTGCTGTACTCTAGGGTACATATCAGGCTGTCAGCTGAAAATTACATTCTCCTAAATTTTTGTTTTCAGAATTCGTACTCTTCAAAATCTCCTATGTTTCACCTACAATCACTGTTTCAGTATATATATATTTGTATATATATGTATAAATTTCAACCAGTTTTTTTAGGGGTAGAAGTTTGCAATTTCTTTTTAGTCTCTGTGTCTAGATGACAAAAGAAATGGAATATACAGAAGTAAGAAAGAACTTTAATCAAAATTTTATTTTACAAGAGGAGAGGAAAATAAGACTAAGTCCAGAAACATCAAGCAAGCTTTTTTCCCCCCCCAAGAAACTGCTCCACATTTGCTTATTTCATTTTGTGAGACCCCAAATAAACTTTTAATGTTCATTTCTACATAAAAATAGCAATTATTTTTTTAAATTATAATAATTTAAAGTGTATACTGCTACCTCGAGTTTCGTTATAAGCAGAGACAAAGCTTGATGAGAAGGTGGATAAGGTGGTTCACTAAAAATGTTAGTTCCACTTCCAGAAAATGTGGAAAGTCCCAGTTTCCATAAAGGCATATACGACTATTGAGATAGCACTGACAAATGATTCACAGTTTTTGAGGCAGTAAGTCAAAGAAATTCTAAGTGCCTAATTAATTTTCTCTCTAGAGGTTTAGAACTTGTATGTGGGGAATGTGGGGTTTACTTACCCCCAACACATGCAAACTCTCACAGGAGTGCAAAAAGCCATTCCACCTGCAATCCTCTGAGCAACTATGCAAGTATCCCAAAGTCAGTGCAGTGTGTGGGCAGTGTCACTGCTTTGTGTGCACAGGGAAGCTCATCTGTGTGTGTTTTAAACATATGTTCAACTCCTACGCACCAGGCAGACCAGGAAGAGTTCCTGTGAAGGAGCTCACAGCAACCTTTTGGGCATTTGGACCCTCATGTTACATCTAGACAAAATTCCCAACTGGAAAAAAAGACATATGAAGGAAACCATTGTATATTCTCTGTAGATCACAGAACCTGGTTAAGTCATACTCAGACTCATGGGCTAGTCAAATCCCCCACTATAATGCAATTAGTCTTCTTTTACAATAATGTTTTAATATTAATTGGAATGTATAACTGAAAGAGTTACCAAAATACTAACTGTCAGCAATAGTTGTGACTTCCTCGTTCCGATACAACCAGCTGACAACGGGAGCAGGTGAACTGGTAACACGGCAAACAACTTCTGCATCTTCTCCCTGCCTGAACTCCTGTGGAGACACTATGTCTCGAAAAGTGAGCTTTTCTGAAAAGGAAAAAAAAAAAAAAGGAGAATACAGTAAGTGTCTTACAGTTCACTCAGCATTAAAATTACATGTGACATCAAATCAGATAAATGTGACTATTACGCCTTCTCACTGTGATAAAAAAGAATTATTTCCATAATATATTTTTTCCCAGATAAGACTCAAATGGTTCTAGACACATCATTTCCACTGTCTGTAAAAGTGACTTTACAAACATATTTTATTATGAAACATAATCCGTTCATGTTTTATAAATATATTTTCATTGTTTTCAATGTTCCAGAGCCCAGTTTTGAAACTCTGGGTCTTAGAATTTTATATATTCATGTTAATAGTCTATTTACTCTCTTTTGTGTTTTATTCCTCATTATTTTATTACTTAATTAAAATTTCATGTTTTTATTCTATCAAAACTTTCATCAAAACCACTAAAATTTGGAAAACTACCTAAAAACGTAGAATTTTAGCTTCACTAACTGAGAAAAACATCAGCTGAGTAAAACAGAAAACCTCAAAAGTCAGTGAGAAATAATATGGAAAAACAACCCCAAATAACCAAACAATATTCAATTGTATTAGTGGGTTGAATAAATTCAGTATTATTAGAATTTAGTGCTGGAAGTCCAAGATGGTATTAATCCATGATCTCATACAAGATCTGACGCAGAAACCACCTGCCTAACAAAAAAAAAGAATTCTGGAAGAGTTTCTTGCACACAAAATAAACAAACCAACTTATGCTGCCTCAGAGCAAAGATGGCCAGTTATCTTTCAGAGGACACTTTGGAGAACATAAAGCAGAGATGCCACTTCACCTCAATTTTTCTTTATTGATACAGGCTCAAATAATCCACACAGTTCTCACAGCAGATGGACACACAGCTCTTATATAGCTTTGCATGAAGTGTTTGAAGTATTTCACCATACGTAAGACAGGAAAAAACCTCCCAGAGACATCAGTGAGTCCTGAGCCAGGCTCTAAGACAACCAACAGTTAGTGAGTGAGTCTATGCTGCTTTTTTCTTACCATACATAACAAATATGAATAAAGATACTTTTTTATGTGAGTTCCCACAAACCTTGATATTTTTGCGGGGGTTTTCAGGTTTATGTGGCCTCAGAATTATTAAAATTACCACATGCAAACACTTCAAAAGACTTTCACCTTGCTCAGCAGTCTGTTAATGGAGTAACTGGCAGTTTTATGCATACAAAGGAATCCACAAAACTTGAAATCCTTTGAACTGCCAGCTTTCAAGCCATCACATAATCACTTGTAACTGCTATCACCCTTTACATGGTTCTTTTATCAAAACATTTTTTTTAATTATGTCTTTTGTTATGTGAGTTATCTGTAGCCCTCAGAAGTAGAGCTTTACCGTTCTACTCTGTATTTTCTGTCTCATTGTAATGCCTAAGCATTTAAAAAACTGTTCTCTAATCAAATTAGAGACTAACTCAGCTGAAAGGCTGCTGGCATATGGCCCATCCTTTCACTGACAAACACCTTGCCTTACATATTCACTGTGTTTGTTTAATGTACTGCTTCTAGGCATCTTTAATTGATCTGAAGAATATAGAACAATGTAAAGTTATTCAACTACAGTGAGAAAAAACCCGACAACAAATCTCTCAGGGAATCTCTTACCACAGTAGAATGTATTTATTTTTCAAATATAGTCTTCAATTAGTTGCTTGCAATTGAAATGCATTTTGGTTTCTTATAACCCCAAGCTTGTCAATGCTTTATGTCAAAATTCCATTATAAGGCCAAGAATATCAAAAGACTGACATAAAAGTAACCAATTCAGCAAAAACTCCACTTTTTAAATGTCACATATTGCTCTTCCTGCAATAATAACTTTTATTTATATAATAATAAAATTTTATTCATATACATATTTGCAATATATTGTAGATATGTTTTTAATTAGAATGACATTGATCTGACTTGTTTCTCATATTTACTCACTTCTTTCAGGGGCATAGCATACACGGCACCCTCCTAAGATTACATTCTAAAATACAAGGGAAAAGTGATCTACAAAACTACTAAGTGACCTCCCATTTAATTTGAGTCTTTGTCATAATACCCACTAACTAAACTGTAGGAGAAGCAATTATGTGGAAGAAAAAGACCAGAGCTTGGGAAGACATTTTGATAGGCTTTCCTTTCTCTATACTAGTGCCTTTTAAAACATAGTCTTTCATTTTACTTACGATAAATTTCCAAAACTACAGTAGCTTCTTGAGTTTGTCCTTTAGCATCTGTTGCTTGACACCGATATATCCCAGCATCTTCTATGTTTGCATTGTAAATGGTCAGACGTGATCGAACTCCTTCTTTTTGAACAACCACTCTCTGACTAGAAACAATCTTCTCTCCTTGGGGATTGTACCAATCTATGCTGTCAGGCTCACCAATGGCTGCAAACAAAACCAAAAAACAACCCAAATTTAGCAGTTCAGGAGGACGTTACGCAGTGCACAAATTTATCCAACGTGCAGTCTACGCAGTGTCAGGAATTTATGCAAAATTCAGGAAGAATTTCTTCATGGAAAGGGTTGTCAAGTATTGGAATGGGCTGCCCAGGGAGACTGTGGAACGACCATACCTGGAGGTGTTCAAGGGAAAGCTTGATGTGGCACTTAGTGCCATGATCTAGTTGACCTGGTGGGGATTTGTCAAAGGTTGGACTCCATGATCTTGGAGGTCTTTTACAACCTAAACTATTCTGTGATTCTACAGTGTCAGCTAACTGCTAAACTGTGAGAGCTGTCAAACTGTCAGTAGAAAGACAAGCAAGACAAAACCGCAGGTAGATGTACGATTGTTGAGAGAGGATAAACAGCAGCTCGATAATTCAAGAAGGGTAAAAAGCCCACAGACAGGTATAAAGTCCTAAAGGGAAGACACAGGCTGTTCAGCAGTCACTGGGTCAACGGGTCAAGTCATCAGGCAGTTGCACTGTCAGTGTAGTCAGGTCATGGGTCACCAGCAGTGAAAGATGCCAACTCAGAAAATCAAGGATCAGTATCAGGCAGCTGCAAATGAAAACTCTTCTCCTGACTGATAACTGCCTCACCAGAAAAACTCTTTGGCTCTCTCATTAGGTTGGAGAGGATGCTAAAGCTTAAGCAGGTAGCTTACTTAATTCCTTAACTTAGACAAGTAAAAATATTTTAACTAAAAAAGCATGGTAACAGATATAAACAACCTTTACTGATACAGAGGATTCAAACTGAGTGATTCAGAGTGTGAAATGAAGAGATTCCAGACTGGAAATGTGAAGCCAGTGAACAGTTAATATTTATCATGATTCTTACGAGTCAATATGAATATACAACATGATGTTAATTTAATATTATGAATCAATTAATTCAGTTTTAAATATGTAGGAAGTTCAAAAATTAACAAAAATTACATATCTATAAGTAAACTGAAGACATACCTGTGCACGTGAAGAATTTGGATTCACCCACACTGAGCTCAACTTTGCTAAGTGAAATTGTAACTTGAAGTAAAGCTGAAAAATATAAAGTAGGTTGTTAATACATTTGAGTATTTGTCAGTTTAAATTTTTTATTGTCAGGTCTTGTATTTTTTTCATTCTATACACAGAACCTGTTCAACAAATCTGAAGTTTCAGCTAAACATTGTTATGCTAGAATACATATAGAGGTAGAGAAAACAATCAAAATGTTACATGAAAGATAACAACCTCATATCTCAAACTTGAGGACAAAATTAAAGGGGGGAAAGAAAAAAGAAAGAAAAATGTATAGAAATATACATAAACCCATAAATTCAATGAGAATAAGGCGACTTGGAACACTCATCATAGACTGACAAAGGGTAAATCATGCCTGACTTTTAGGATAAAATTATTACTTTTGTGCATGAGAGAAGAATACTGGGTGGCAATTACTTTGACTTTATCAAGGCTTTTGACACTACCTCCCACAACCTTCTCATATTCAACTGCATTGGGTATAAATAGCAAGGTTTTGGTAGCGGGGGCTGGTTGCAGGGGTGATTTCTGTGGGAGGGAGGTCAGAGGTTGTGCTGTGCAAATACAGCCAGTTCTAGATAGCTCCACAACGCACCCACTGCAGGACACTACTGAGAGACTTAGAGGAGTTTGTAGCACCTGCCAGAACACAGCCCGAGGAACAAGGCCAAAATGATAGGAGGTGCTCCATGACACAGTTGGTAACAGCCCTGATGGGACGGTGGAGATGCAAGAACAAATACATCCCCAAAAGGACTGTGGCCTGTGGATAACCCACAACAGAACCGAGGAAACCAGTAAGGCAGAATGAACAGTGGAAGAAAAGAGTTAAAAAAGAAGGAATGGCAAAAAGGAAACCACTATGTCCTCACCCCAACCTCCTGCATTACCCATCATCTCACTGGAGGGACTGAGTGTAACCTGCATGGGTGGTGATAATGAGAGGAGTGAAGACTAGGAATGGAAAGGAGAGGTATCTGGAGCACAGGAAAGAAGCAAAAACGTGTTTTCCCTAAGCGTTTAACTATTTATCATCCTTGTTTTCAAATACTCAGGTAATTAAATGTTTATGTTAGGTTGATAAATAAATTTTATTTCCCCAGCTGGAGTCTGTTATGCCCCAACAGTGATTTGACAATGATTTCTGCTGTCTTTGCCTTGACCCATCAGTTTTCTCAGTCTCAGTCTTCCTAATTTCATCCCTGTCTTGCTGTTGTTAAAAGGATCGAGCAAGGCACTGTAGGGGATCTTGGCCTAACCCACCACATCAATCTGTTTTGTCTGACCCTGCTTTGAGCAGGAGACTGGACTAGAGACCTTCTTCAGTCCCTTCCACCTTGAATTATCTTTTGCTCCCGTGATCCTGGGAATAACCTACACAACGCAAGACAGTATTATTGGTGAGGGGGTTAATTATGCAAAATAACTATGTACTCTTCAGTAACCACATTTCCAGCATCATCACCGTCCTAAGCAGCTGTTTCTCTTTAACATCCATTATCTTAAAAAAATTGAACAATAAATGTTCATAAACCAACAGCGGATAAAATCAATCACGTTAATTTGAAGGTCTAATCAAGGCAGAAATCAAACAGGCAAAAAATGGACTCTTTTTTTTAAAGAATTTTCATTTAGGATTCTACATAGTAGAGAACTGGGATGTATCTGAAGGTTAAGAGAAAATACTAGTCTGAAAATCTGGATTTTCAGTCTTGAAATATAGTAACTATCGTCTATTCTCTGTATGTGGAAATATTTTACCTTTTGGAAAACTGCAACACAAGGTATAGTTTATACTGAACGTCATAATCACACCAAGATTCCTTCTGTATAATTGGTATGAAAGTCCAGGAGGACAAACATCTCTAGAGATGAGGAGTATTATGCTCCAAACTAAATTTTTTCTCTCACAAATTTCACCCATGAATAAGAACCTGCTAAACCCCTCAATTATTCAGTTCTGCTGACAGTAAAAATTCAAGAAAAGATGAGCACAGAAAAAAACCATTAATCTCTACTGATAATACTCAGATAATGTGCCAACTAATACAATTAAAAGAAAAGTGAAATGAAACAGATTTTCTATTAACTTTCATGTAATCAACCTGGATAAGCAAGAATTAGACAAGATTTGAATTTTTTCTTCAATAGTAGTATCAAAAAACGGCAGAGAAAACTGCAGATTACTTCATTATCAGCCTACCAATCTAAATTTAACAAAATTCATTATTTTCTAATAAAATAAAATTAAAAATCAAATACATGTGTGGTAAATAACATTTTTCATGAGTTGTCCCGAATTGTGATCAGGGACTTGTACCATTCTCCACACAACAACAAGGAGCATGGTGAAAGCTCCTTTAGGACACACAGAGCACTGACAGAGAAAGCGTCTGCTCATTCTCATCCATGGTCTTTACTTCCATGGTATCAGAAGCAAAAGACAAACCTACATGTAGGAAAGGAACTCAGTTTCACACAAAGTTTTCTTTTATGTTGTAATAAGCACCAAGGAGTAATAAATCATCCAAGAGGCTACTCCAAGCCTCATTTCTTTGTTTACTTGTCAGGTAAAGCTTCACTATAACCTCAGGACATACAACTGCTGGTTGGAAACCAAAGTACTAATAAACACAGAGGTTGGGGAATTTCAAGTGTTCAGACATCACAGACTCACTTTTTAGGTCCTATGCCACCATTTCTCTGGCACTATATTTTTTTTTATGGAGTTAAGAATCTTGTGCAGTTGCTTTAGAAATACATACATCAGCATTTCAGCAGCATTGCTTCAAGGACAATTGCACTGCTTAATTCCAATAACTGTAATAACTGATGTCAAACTATGTAAATGCAGTAGATTAAGTAATGAATGTCAAGTAGAATGTAAGGAACAGGATGAGAGGTGAAAAAGCAAGAGAATATTTTTCCTTCATCAATTAAACACATATTTGAAACTCTCACAGAGTTTTGGCAAAGGGCTCAAATCCAATTAAATTTCTTAGCATAAATGTAACTATAAACTCTATGGAGATATGCTGGCTACATCTCTGAAACCAAAAGGAAGTCTTCTTTCCTACATATGGTACTTTAATATTTACAAAACAGAAAAATATAAGACCATCTGTCCCATTTTCCCAACTTCATCGCTTTCCTAGCTCTACTTCATGTAAATAGTAAAATATTGTTTCATGCAACCTAGAAAGAAAAATATTGTCCAAGTTATTAATCTAGCAATCTTTGCTTATTAGTAGTGAGGCAAATAGTCGAGTATGAAGCTAGGAGGAGGCTCACTTGTCACTTACTGAAGGTAAAATATTGCAAAGAGACAACACAGAGTCAGGAAACTCCACATTACTTCCAAATCTGTTCCAAGAACTACAGAGATGCATTAAGTTATTATAAGCTCTGACGAAGGTGGTAGTGATGCACTCACAACTCAAGTTATTGCTGTGCTCCAACAGCTAATGGACTAATATAAAAGGGAGTTGTTTGTAACAAACTGGTTTGATGGTCTCTGAATACACAGGCAAATCAGTGAAGATGCCCCAGAAATTCAGTAGACCTGGTATCTAACTATGTTAAGCCAAGCCCAAAAGTAAATAGTATTTTCTTCATGGATCTGACAAAATACTGCCTCTTCCCATTTTTCCAAGGATATCACGTAACTACTTGTTCAGAAAAAAAATATTCAAAAAGGCAACATGTAAAAGATCTCTTCAAGTAGAAGACTGGTGAGTGTAATCCTATTGTACAACAGCTGTTCTGGGAAAAAGTGAAGTCAGTCAGGACTGCACTCAGTCTTTGGTACATGCTCAATTTTATACCAAAATAAAAAGAGCACTATTAGCACTAGGTGATACAACCAATCCTGTCCCTTTTGACCACAGTCATTATAAAAGAATTATTATCAGTTGTAACGCACTAAGAGGATTCTGCTGAATTATTCCTTAATGGCTTTAAAAATCACTTACGAAGATAAGGAAGAACAGTAATGAGAGGTTCATTTGTCCTGTTAAAGATGGAGACAGATGACTGCATTCATGAGGACTAATATTTAGTAGCCTAACTGATTTCAGTCCCATTAGCAATAGTATCCTTCACGTTTTAGAACAAACATCACACCCTGCCATAGTTGTTCACACAGAGCATCACCTGATGCAAGAAAAGTGAGGTGTCATCAGTGAGAGGTTACAAAAATTGTAACAATAAGTGACTTGCATTTGTACTTCTACTGTCCCTTAGCAATATATTAAAACAAGTTCAAAGTGTATACTATACAAATGTACTTTTAAACATATCTGTAAGATACGTAAGGTACTAAAAAGGAAAAGGAGACAATATTTAAATAAGATCTGAAAAATATTGGGTAAACCTCTGTTTCAACTAATAACTCCATCCAGTCTTCCTGATAACCCCACCTCAAACACTCCAAAACCCTCCAAAATCTTCCTTTTTGTCTGTATTGGAAAGATACCAGTAACAAAACATACCATATTCTGCCCCAGTTTGCGCAATGCAAGTTTGGTACAATACAGTTGAACAGTTTTTATGCTACATCGATAGATCTGAGTGCATTTTGGAATTTACTTCTGAGCAGTCAGACATCACTCTGCTATAGAGGGGTCTTTCTAAATCTGTTGGAACGCAAACTCACTGAAGGGGAGAGGGCAATGGGAAGGTAGCAAAGAGAAAAGTACACAGCTACGAAGAACAAACAAGGCGTGTCATGGGATCAACACAGAACTAAGGAAAGGGGTGATAGCTACAGAAGGCAGTTTGGATGGCCTTGGCATTGGTTTCTAAGAAAAACAAGGAGACTGCAAGATAGGACTGTCCTCTTTGTGAAGGTCCTAATTCTGTTTAGCATAAGTTCTCTGACAATAGTTATACCCTCAGCTATCATAATTCTTTGACTTCCTGTAATTAGCAAACTTACCTGGGTAATGTGGTTTTGCTTTCAGTAAACGACTAAACTAGTATTTAATGTATAATATGCTTAGAAAACAAGGCTTCATTATCCTTGAGCATAAAGAAATT